TTCTAGTCTATCCCTATTTGTTTCTTTTGTAGGATAACACATGAAATATATAGTAGGATTCAATTCAAGGCCATTGTTCTTCAAACTATGTTTATAACAATGAGATGTCAGATATAGCATCCTGTTTTAGTAGCATCTTTATGCAAAGGAATTTTACAAAGTAAGCATCACCTGAATAAGTTACTGTGGTATAATCTTAGTATAATTTAATTTAGATAAGCTATCCAGTTTTAAATTTAGAATGACTTTAAATTCATAGAAATATAATAATTATCTTTTTAATCTTTCTTTGGAGGCCTCATTTCATTAAGACTATAACTTTCCTAAAGTTTATAATCATATATTGCTTGTTCTTGAAATAATTTCAAATGTAATGAAAATACCAAAAGAAAATGATTATGTAGTCACGTGCTTATTTGCAAGACATATGTTTCTCTTAATTCCTGGATCTTGTTTTAAAATAAAAAGTAGCTTTCACAGTATAAACTCAGAATTCTGTCATGTCAGAAATATATTTGTTGTACAATGGGCCAGAGCAATCGTGTGATTTATGCATGGCATCTGTGTTTCCTCAGCAGCTGCCGTAGGCCGGTCACTGGTACATGAGTGAAAAAAAAGAGATATATTTGTGATCTTGCTTTTACTTGTTGCTCTTTCCTATAGGAAATTTCAGAATGCAGAATAATCACACAGGAAGTTTCTTTAAAATGTTTATTACTGAGTTCACATTAAAATTTCTGGGGGCATTTGGCTCTTATTTTAAGAAACACTTTCTTCAAATTATTCTTCTGTCCTCCGGTTAAATGGTAGAAAGTACATCAGTGTGTAAAGTAGTATACATTTTTAAGATACTACAAGCAGGACTTGAGAGCCTTATAAACATTTTCTGAACAAATTTTAAGTGAATGACTTGTAAGGTATCTTCCCTATTCTCTCCTGAAAAAATCTTATGATACTGAATGATATGCAAATGAGGAACATTTTCTTTGATGAGGTTGTAACTTTCACTCAGGTTGGTCTAACTGTTCTATTTTTGCAGTCTTTAAGTGTCATGGAAGTTCATTTCATAGTATACAGAAATTTTCTGAAATAGCAATAAGGCAGTTTGCAGCCAGCATGGCTGGCATTTTGCAATAATACATTTTACAAAAGCCTGTGATCAGATCACTGTATGCATATCCAGCCTGTATGAAGTTTCAAGTACCTTGTTCAGTTCTGGTCTGTTTACTATATAAATTTGCTTTGTATTGACTTTTGTCATGTCTTGGTCATCATACTGTAATTTCTATTTCTATACCTTTTGTGTTCAAAAACTTGAAATGAAACATTTAATTATATAAACAAAAACATGAAAATTGCCTTTATCAGTGGTTGACATAATTACTTGCACAAAAGGTCCAAGTTTGCAAAAGGAGGGAGAGAAAAGGGGAGGGAACAAAGGCATGAAGAAAGGAAAATAGGAAGGGAAAAGGGGTGGGATGTACATACTATCACTTTGACAGTTTCTGTTTGTTTGTTTGTCTTTTGTTTTATTAAGACAGTGTCTGGTTGTACTATATTTCCATCTGCCCTGGCACTCCATAGCCCAGGCTGGCCTTGAACTTGCTGCAATCATCCTGCCTCAGCCTAAGGAGGGCTGGGATTATAGGTGTGCACCACCACACCCAGTACTTTGGCAATTTCTTAAAAATTAAAATATACACCTACAAGTTGTCCAAGGCATTCCACTTTTAGATATTTCATCAAGAGAGATGAAAGTATGTCTAT